TGGCACTATGAGACCCTGCACTGACCGGAGACTGGCTTGAGGACTGCTGCTGCTCTGTTCTCACTGAACAACCCCAACAGCACATCCGAGGCTTCTCCTTAACACATTAGTCTACCACTGTACATAGGCTAGAATCTCTACCATAGGGTACACCATATCTAGGCAAAGAATTGGCAGGTCTTAAGTTATGAGAATGTCTGATTTCACAATGAGGTTTTCCAAAATAGTCATGCCAATTTTTAGTCTGAATAGCAAAATATGTCCCTTGTGCCACAATCTCACTGTAGTTCATATTATCAGACATTAATTTTTTTACCAGTCTAGTAGTTATAAATTATATCTCATCTTGGTCTTACTATATATTACTGATGAGTGTGAACATTTTTCATATAATTATTTGCCTTATGTATTTATTCACTGTGATATGCCTATAAAAATATTCTACCTGTTTTTAATTTGGTTTCTTTTTTTAAAATTTTATTGATTATGCCATTACAGTTGTTCTATTTTCCCCCTTCATTCCCCTCCACCCTGCACACCCCCTCCCCCACCATTCCCCCCCTTTAGTTTATGACCACGTGTCTCAAGTTCTTTAGATTCTATATTTCCCCTACTATTCTTGCCCTCCCCCATCTATTTTCTACCTACCACCTATGCTTCTTATCTTCTGTACCTTCTCCACCCTTCTCCTCCTCCCACTCCCCTGTTGCTAACTCTTCATGAGATCTTCATTTCTATGGTTCCACTCCTGATCTAGCTGTCCTCTTTAATTTGCTTTTGTTTTAGGTGTGGTTTTTAATAACTGTGAGTTCGCTGTCCTTTCACTATTCATATTTTTTATCTTCTTTTTCTTAGATAAGTCCCTTTAACATTTCATATAATAAGGGCTTGGTGATGATCAACTTCTTGAATTTGATCTTATCTGAGAAGCACTTTATCTGTCCTTCCATCCTAAATGAAATCTTTGCTGGATAGATCAATCTTGGATGTAGGTCTTTGGATTTCATGAGTTGGAATACTTCTTTCCAGCCCCTTCTTGCCTGTAAGGTCTCTTTTGAGAAATCAGCTGACAGTCTGATGGGAACTCCTTTGTAGGTGACTGTCCCCTTATCTCTTGCTGCTTCTAGGATTCTCTCCTTCATTTTAATCTTGGCTAATGTAATGATGATGTGCCTTGGTGTGTTCCTTCTTGGGTCCAACTTCTTTGGGACTCTCTGAATTTCCTGGATTTCCTGGAAGTCTATTTCCTTTGCCAGATTGGGGAAGTTCTCCTTTATTATTTGTTCAAATAAGTTTTTCACTCGTGGCTGTTCCTCTTCCCCGTCTGGTACCCCTATAATTTGGATGTTGGAACATTTCAAGATGTCCTAGAGGTTCCTAAACCTCTCCTCCTTTTTTTGAATTCTCGTTTCTTCATATTTTTCTGTTTGGTCCTTTTTTTCTTCCTTCTGGTCCACTCCCTTGATTTGAGTTCTAGTTTCTTTTCCATCACCATTTCTTTCCTGTGCATTTCCCCTCATTTCAATTAGTTTAGCTTCCATATGTTCCTCTAATTTGTGACTAAAATCAACCAGTTCTGTGAGCATCCTGATCACCAGTGTTTTGAACTGTGCATCTGAAAGTTTGGCTATTTCTTCACCGCTTAGAATTATGGGCTCTGGGACTTTGAATTCTTCTTGAGTCATGTTTGGTCTGGTCGTGCCCATTAAGTATGAGGAGCGAAGCCTTAGGTGTTCACCAGGGTGGGGCCACCCAGGTTGCTGGTTTGTGACACTGTATGTGGGGGCGGGGTCAGAGCAGGGCAATAGCAGTCTCCTCTGCTGCTTCCCACAGCTGGGGCCTGTGTGGTCTGTCTCACTGCTCACTCCTTCACTGGTTTATCTGCGTGCAAATATGTGACCGTGGTCAGCCTGCCACCTTGCACCCTCACTGGGTCTGCCATCGAAGCTCCACACCTGGGATCCGCCAACCGCCCACCGTGCACCTGGGTCAGTCTGGCCGAGTTTTCCAACGCAACCCCACTCCACCAGCCACTGGCTCCACCCCTCTTACCGGTCTAGCTGAAGGGTTCCTTGTTGTCAGACTTCAGTAGTTTAATTTTCTGTGTTATGGCAGCGTATTTGTTTTACAAAACCTTGTTGTCTTTAAACTTGGTTGTGCAAGAAGGTACAGTGTTTCTACCTATGCCTCCATCTTTCTTTGTTTTTTTCTTAATGACTTGTAAGAGTTCTTTATGTATTCCATATATTAATGCTTTGTTGGTTTTATGTTGCCATAGTCAGCTGGGCTGTAATAAACAAAATTGCAAAGACTGGCTTAAAAAACAGAAAATTATTTCTTACAGTTCTATAGGCTGGAAGACTGATGAGGGTACAGGCATGGTTGATTTCTTGTGAGAACACTCTTCCTGGCCACTTTCTCATGGTGAACTCACATCACACAGCAGAGAGAGAGAGAGATCTGATATCTCTTCTAATAAGGGTACTTATCCCATCATGATACCTCCACCCTCATGACCATATCTAACCCTGATTACTTTCCAAAGGCCCCCCTCTCCAAAATACTATCACAGTAGGGTTTCAACATATGAGTTTGGGAGGAAGGGAGGGACACAATTCATTCAACAGTGTAGGAACTTCTCATTTCCTGTTATCTTTTTGTTTTGGTTATGGTGCTTTTTTACAAACAGTAGTAAGGTTTCTCACAAAATATGTTTTTATAGGACAAAGTTTATTATAAGTACTTCTAAGAGTTTTAAAGTTTGACTTTAATTTTGAATCCACCTGGAATTTGTTTTTCTGAACAACCTGAGGTGGAGAGTCAAGTTCATTTTTGACCTCATGGATAGTAATAGTCCAAGTGCCATTTACTGTGTGGTGCTATGCCACCTGTGCCATAGTGAACATTTACAGCAAAGTCTGTCAGTTTTCCATGGGAGAATGGATCTGTCTCTGAGTTCCCTACTCTGTTGCATTGATCAGTCTGATTATCCCTGTGCCAGTATACTGTCTGAGATACTAAACATTTATAATTTTCTTTAGAAGAATTTTGACAATCTCCAACCTTTGTTCTTGAATGTAAATTTCAGATAAATGTATCAAGTTTTTTTGGAATTTTTCAAATCCAATAAACTATATTTAAAATTGTACATCACTGAAATTCTTATAATATTAAGATTTCTTCCCTGGCTGGTGTGATTCATTGGACTAAGTGCCAGCCTGCAAACCAAACATTCGCCGGTTGGATTCCCAGTCAGGGCACATTCCTGGGTTGCAGGCCAGGTAGGTCCCCAGAAGAGGGTGGGTGAGAGGCAACCACACACTGAAGTTTCTCTCCCTCATTTTCTCCCTCACTTTCCCTCTCACTAAAAATAAATAAGCAAATTCTTTTAAAAAAAGATTTCCCATCCAAGATCATTGTTTATCTCTCTGTTTATTATGTCTTCTATATATTTTATTCATACTTTAAATTTTTCTCAGATGGGTCTTAAACTCTTTGTTATACTTATTTCTAGATATCTTATATAATATCTTGTTGAAATTATGCATTGTTTTGTTGCGCATATGTATATGTAATTAGTTTTCATGTATTGGTTGTATATCCAGCCATTTAAGTAAATTTTTATATTAATTTCAAGTACCTTTAAAGACTTCTATGTAGAAAATAAGATAACTTAAAAATAATAGTCTCTTCCTTCTTTACCTATTTTAATTTAATTTTTTAATTATTATTTTACTGGCTAGATCTTCCAGTAAAATGTTGAATAGAATTGGTGTCAGTGGGTACCTTTGTCTACTTTCTGATTTTAAAGCATATGCTTCTAACTTTTGATAATTAAGTAAAGTATTTATTATAGATTTTTCTAGAAAGAAAGTTTCCTTTGTTCCTAGTCCTATAATGCTTCCTCTTTCTCTCTCTCTCTCTCTCTCTTTTCATTGTTGTGCTGGTACAGTTGTCTCCATTTCCCCGCCCCAACTCCCTTTCACCTCAGGCATTCCCACCTCTCACCCTCAATCCTACCCACTTTGGCTTTGTCCATGTGTCCTTTAAATACTTTCATTTGGATTTTAAACCATGAGTGAATGTTGAATTTTATCAAATTCTTTTTTTGTGTCTTTTAAAAATATGTTTTTATCCTTTAATTTATTAATTAAGTAATTATTTTATCAATTATATTGATCAAAAATCTGTCCTTTAAATACTTTTCAGAACTTATCTGTAAAACCACCTGTTTATAGCATTTTAGGTGAGATTTCCAACCACTTATTCATAGTTTATTTTATTTTTTCATTATGATAGTACAGTATGGACTTTCTTTTTTCTTCTTTTGTCAAATTCTGAAATTCATATTATTTATATTTATCTCTTATGTTTATAGTTTAAATTTTATTAACATAAAATTATTCACATTTTTCTCTTATTTTTAACTGTCATATTTTAACTCCCTTTTATTATTATTAATGTTGATTATAAGTATCCTAGAACTTTTAAAAAATATTTTATTTATTTACTTTTAGAGAGAGGGGAAGGGAGGGAGAAAGAGAGGGAGAGAAGCATCAATGTGTGGTTGCCTCTTACGTGACCTCCACTGGGGACCGGGACTGAAACCCAGGCATGTGCCCTGACTGGGAATCAAACCAGCAACCCTTTGGTTTGTAGCCTGCGCTCAATCCACTGAGCTACACCAGCCGGGGCTGTCCTAGCACTTTTTTATCATCACAAGGAGATATATATGTGTGTGTGTGTGTGTGTGTGTGTGTGTGTGTGTGTGTGTGTGTGTGTGTGTGTATAAATTGATTTTCAAGAAAGAGAAAGGGAGAGAGAGAAACATTGATGTGGAAGAGAAATGTCCATCAGCTGCCTCCCATACACACCCTGGGGTCAAACCTGCCACCTGGGTATGTGCCCTGAAAGGAAATCAAACCTGCGACCCTTTGGTGCTTGGGACAATGCTCCAACCAAATGAGCCATCTGGCCAAGGCTCCTTTCAATTTTTTTTGGGGGGGTACACCATTCCTGGAAGTACTGCAATACCAGGTCAATGCAGGAAGTGGATGGAGCAACCTCCTATTCTACCTCCCAGCTCCAAAAATCCACTTAATATAATGTCCTCAGAGAGAGGACATATCAGATATTAAACTGATAAAAACAGATACTACACTTGATCATAGCCAAAAGGCCAAGAAACGATCCTTGCACCTTTTAAATTAGTCTTTGCCATATCTTGTATTTCCGTGGTCTTATAAAAGAACTAGCATTTGTTTTTATTCATCCTTTATGTTACATTATTATTTTTTTCTTCTGATATTAATTATCTCTTTCAAATATATTTGTTGGATAAATTCTATTGTTATAACCTAGTTTGGGGGTTAGCAAACATTTCTTTAAAGGGCCAGGTCATAAATGTTTTAAGCCTTGTAAGCCATGTAGTCTCTGTTGCAAGTATTCAATTTATGCCCTGGTAGCAGGAAAGCAGCTATAACAACATGTACATGAATAGGTGTGACTATGTTCCAGTAAAACTGTGTTTACAAAAACAAGGGCAAGATTTAGTTCTTGGGACATACAGTTCATTGACCCTTGGCCGAACGTTTTGATTCTCAGCACGTGGTATGTAGACTTCCTTGGTGGCGTGTCCCTGAGAACCCTTCAGGATGTATGGTTAGGACTATTTCCACAACAATGCTAGGATGTTATTTAACTTTTTGACTGTGTTACCTTGAACTGACAGTGTAAAAATAAGGGTGGATGAAATTGCTGGAACCTTAGCGCAAATCAAGGCCATGGTCACTGTATTCTTCACCAATGTATTCTTACTATGAAAATAAGTGTCAATTTACTTAAGATCATCTTTAATTAAATAATAAAATTATTTTATTAAATTTTGATCCCTGGTGGCATTTTTTAATATTCTGTCTGGTGAATTGTGATTTATACATAAAGCACTTCTGATCCTTTATGTATAAATGTGATAATTCTCTCAAAGAAAACCATTTATTTAACGGTTGGAGTTGCAAGCTCAACTAGCCATTTTCATCATAGAACACCATTTAAACTTGAAAGAACTAGTCAAATTATGGGTACTCAGCTTCTAATATTTGGCAGACATTTTTTAAATGAATGAAATGAGCCTGGAAACAACTGAAAATATTTATTACCAATGTCAAAATTCTAGCTTTCAAGTAAAATTGGAATTTAATATTGTATCTGTCAGTGAGCTTGACAGCTTGCCAATAATCAAAGGCTGTTCCAGTGAAATCAGTGGTGGTTTTAATAAGTGTATTCTTCTCTTACAAGGTAATATAATATGTCAACATTCAGAAGATTTTGTAAGGTACCAATATTTTCTTGATTATCGATACATAATATTACAAAAAATCCATTTAAAGTACAAGACATACCAGTAGATCTCAGTGTAGCAGACCGTGGAAGATTCATTGATGTTGTTTCAGATTCCACATTGCAACTAACCTTTGAAAGATTATCACCAGGGGAGATTTGGCATAGTATCAAAGGAAAAATTTCATAATTATATAAAAGGCCTGTTAAAATATCCTCCTTTTCTTGATATATGTCTTGATACTTTTGTATACTGCAACCAAACTAATATTTGATAACAAAATAAATGCAGAAACAGATCTGACAATATAGTTCACTTAATTGTCAGACATTAAAGAGATTTTCAATAATGTAAAACAATTCCATGTTTCTTACTAAACACTTTGGGAAAATATTTTTAATAAAGTCTAAGGTATATATGATTGGTTTATTATTTTTAAATGATTTCATAAGTGTCTCAAAAGTTTAATTCTAATTCTATAAATATGGACAATTATAACTTACATCAATACAAGCTCTTGACCTGGCTGCTATAGCTCAGTGGATTGAGCATGGGCCTGTAAAGCAAGGGTTGCCGGTTCAATTCCCAGTCAGGGCACATGCCTGGGTTGCAGGCCAGGTCCCCAGTAGGGGACACATGAGAGGCAACCACAAACTGATGTTTCCTTCCCACTCTTTCTCCTTTTCTTCCCCCTTCTCTAAAAAAAAGTAAATAAATAAATAAAATATTTTTAAAATACAAGCTTTTGTTTATCTTATTTTACTTGTATTTTAATTGGTTGAGATTACCATAAACCATATTAGATATGCATATGCCATGGTTGTGGCTTAATAATTATTATTTAATTTTCAGAAAAATAAAACTCAAAGCTCTTCGTGGGCCTTGATAATTATTAAGAATATTGCACAGCCCTAACACGGAAATGTTTGAGAATAATTGGTCTAGATTACTGAGTTAGATACTTAACTCATTAATGTTAGCTTTTATTCTGCTATAATACAATAATTTTAGGTTACGAATGGCCCTCACAGTCTCTTTTTACTGCTTCTCATAAGTTTTTATATACAACATTGTCAATATCACTCAGTCATAGGTAAATTTTACATGGTATAGTGATGTTTCTTTTTACCCATGAGTAAGTTAGAAGAGTAATGTGTTTTAATTCCCCCCAAAATTTGTAAATTTTAATTTGTCTTTGTTATTGACCCCTAATTTAATATCATTCTGGAGAGACAATATAATCTGTATAATAACAATTCTTTGAAATTTGCTGACTCAACTTATGTTTTTATATGTGGTAAAATTTACAAAGATCTCACGTGTATTTGACTAATATGTATTGTCTATTTTTAGGGTGAGTTCTATAGATGTCCAGTTAATTGTGTTTGACCATGAAAAACTCAGTTCTCTATCTTTACTAATGTAATGTCTGCTTGACTCAATCAATAGTTGGGGGAAGTATGTTAAAATCTTCTACTTTAGTGGGGGCACTGTCCATTTCCTCTTATAACTCTATAATTTATTCCCTTTCATATTTTGAGTGTACTTTATCAGGTCGACTCAAGTATGATATAGTTATACATTTTGGGAAGTGGAAATTGTTATCATTGTAATCCTACTACTTCTCAATAATTTTAATGCAAATTCTGTTTTGTTTTATATTAATATAGCTTCTCCACTTTATTGTAGTTAGCATTTGACTATTTTTATGTTTAATTTCAATTTTTCTATATATTTTTATTTACTCTTTATTATATTCTTTCCATTACCATTTAGTCCCCTTATACCAGCCTCCCTTCAGCATTAACCACACTGTTGTCCATGTCTGTGAGTTCCTTTTCCTTTGTTATCAATCCCTCCACCCCCTAACCTCCCCGGCTGACCTCCAGTTCTCCATTTACAAGTCTGTCCCCATTTTCCTTGTTAGTTCAGTTTGTTCATTAGATGCCACATGTGAGTGAAAGCATATGGTATTTGTCTGTCTCTGACTGGCTTATTTCACTTAGCAATATGTTCTCCAGATTCATTCATGTTGTTGCAAACGGTCAAATTTTCTTCTTTTTAATGGCTGAGTAGTATTCCATTGTGTAAATGTTCCATAGTTGTTTTATTCTATCATCTACTGCTGGACACTTGGGCTGCTTCCGTATCTTCATGATTGTAAATAACACTGCAATGAACATAGGGGTGCTTATGTTCTTTCAAATTAGTATTTTAGGTGCCTTTGTATATATTCCCAGAAGTGAGACCTCTGGGTCAAAAAGCAGATCCATTTTTAATTTTTTGAGGCATCTCCATACTGCTTCCCACAGTGCCTGTACCAGTCTGCATACCTACCAACAGTACCAAGGGTTCCCCTTTCACCGCATCCTCAACAGCACTTATTGTTTGGTGATGGCCATTCTGACAGGTGTGAAATGGTATTTCACTGTGGTTTTAATTTGCATTTCTCTGATGATTAGTGATGTTGAGAATCTTTTCATATATCTGCAGGCCATCTGTGTGTCCTCTTGCAAGGAGGATGGAACAGAATGGAACAGAATAGAGAGCCCAGAAATAAACCCACATCTTTATAGTTAATTAGTATTTGACAGAGGAAGCACATACAGTGGGCTAAAGATAGTTTATTCAATAAATGGTATTGGGAAAATTAGACAGATACATGCAGAAAAATAAAACTAGACCATCTTCTTACACTATACACAAGAATAAATTCAAAATGGATAAAAGACTTAAATGTTAGACTCATAACCATAAAAATGGTAGAAGAAAACATAGACAACAAAATCTCAGGCATTTCTCTTAGCAATATTCTATTAGATTCACTGCCCCAGGGAAGGGAAACAAAAGAAAAAATAATTAAATGGAACTACAACAGAATAAAAAGTTTTTTCACAGCAAAGGAAATCATCTATAAAATAAAAAGACAACCTACAGAATGGGAGAACATATTTGCCACTATATCTGATAAGGGGTTAATATCCATACTTTATAAAGAACTTAGAATATACACCATCAAAAAAAACAAACAACCCAATTAAAATTGGGCAAAGGACCTGAATAGACGCTCAACCTTTCTGTATCTTTGAAGTTTGGAGGTGTTTCTTGTAACAGTACATCGGTGTATCCTATTTTAATCAATATAGTAAATTTTGTCATTTAGTTAGCACATTTAATTTCTTTTTATTATTAAGAATGATAACTTTAGATTGTTTCTACCACATTCACTCTTTTTATTTTTATTTCTTCTTTCTTACAATTGGTTGGGAGTTAATTTTGGGTTCTTTTTATTATTACATTTTTCCTTTTAAAAGTTATGCATGCTATTTCTATAATTTAAAGGTCACTCCTGAAATGTTTACCATGCATGCTAACCTAATGTTGTATAAATGTAATCATGTCTTATCCTGAATAATATAAATATTTCAGGGATGTGAGGGCAAGCTGCCTCTGACATCGGTCACCCCATTGATCACCAAGGTTGATTCAGCTGATCTGACTGGCCAGGCAAGTCCTCCCCACCCCACCCCCCACATCCCTCACTGGTCCTTGTGCATCCTTCTGGAAGTTGCACACTCTGTGGACGTGGATGACCTTCCCTGATAGAGGAGAGGACCCTTCTTCAGTCAAGAGTACGTGATGTCTGCTCTCCCCTGCTAGAACCTCCAAACAGCTCTCAAGATCCATTTGTAGGAGAAAGTAGGGTAGTCAAGCTTCCAAGACTCCAGACACATCCAAACGAGGTGATACACGTGGCAGGCTGCAGTTCTTTAAAAATCAATCAGTTGATTAATGAATAATAAATAAATAAATAAATAAATAAATAAATAGTTTTAGAACATTTTTACTCT